GAAGGAGGTTGAATATGGCTGCAGGCATGAGGAAGAGCCTGATGGGAGGAAGGTGGTTTGTGACTTTAATGGATAGAAGGCCAGGGCTTGGCTATCCCTTCTTAGCTACCTCCCCCTGAGGAAGCTGGCCCTGGGAGAACCAGGGAGCACAGTCTGGGAAGAAAATGCCTTTATAAGGAAGAGGTAACAGAACAAACAGTATTGTCAGTACAGAGCCTGCACTGGCTCTCAGGGGGTTGACAGTGACAATCTGGGGTCCCTAAAGAGAGGTCCAGGCCTGCAGTGGGGCAGGAGGGAGGGTTCTAGGGGCACACATCCTGTGTCCTGTGGAAAACCATGTGCTGGTTCCTTTCAAGCACCATTATTTTTCCCCACTAAAAAATGAACATGCTTTCTTGAGTAAGCAGTTGTGTTGGCCAGTGGTGTTGCAGCACACACACAGTATTTAAAGAATGTGAGCTGCAAACCTGTGCCTTTACTTTTGTAGCTCTGCACTCTGTGCACAGGCCAACTCTACATTTTGCACCTGCCTTGGAAGCAGTTTGAAAGCAAATAATGATGTTTTGATTTGGTGACTGGAAAATGGGGCTGTCCCAGGGAAGCTCTAATGTCTTTTTGCTTTGAAATTGTCATTTCCGTGTGGTTTAGCTTATGGACACTGTTTCTTATTGTGGCAATGTTTACAGGCAGCAGTATTTGGTGAAGAGCCCATGTGGAATCCTGCAGCTTTTGTTTTGTTGTAGCTCAGATTAGGGACACGAAACTTTTCTAGGCCAGCAGCTTGCCTCATGCCTCATCTGTACCACCTACCTCCCTGTTTGCAGTGTGAACTGCATGCTTCCAGGAAAATTTGGCTTTCCCAAAGGATTTCCCCTAAAACAGAGATAACCCGGGCCATTAAACGTGGATATGCATTCCAAAAGCCTCAGAATCAGGTCTTTTACAAACACGGATTGTGAAATGGTCATTACAAGTATCAGCAGTACCCTAGAAACCCTCTGACCCTGTGAGTGGATGAGGTCAGGCACATCCCTCTCTATCTGTAGCACTCCATGACCTTTTATCCTCCAAATTGCTCCTAAAAGTCCTCTTCATGCCCAGTGCCCACAAAAGTCTGATAATCACCTTGGTGTCAGGTGCTTAGACATTAGGCCTGGTAAAATCCCCCAGAGATGGCTGCAGTAACCAGTGTTTGCTCTTCTGTCTGGGTGCCCCAGTAACCCAGTTTCCTGGGTGTCCCTGTGCCCATCTTGATAAGCACTCCTGGCTGGGTGCTGCCTGTGTTTCATCTCACTGAGTTCCAAATCTACATCAGCATTAACAGCATCTGCTTCAGCTGCTGAGATGCTTTGGGAGATTGGCACCATGTTTTCTGTGTGTTTGCTCAGTCCTGAAAATGCAGAATGTGCTTAGGAAATAATAGGTGGGAGCACACAAGGTGCCATGTAATCATACAGACATCCCAAATGGCCAGCAGCCCTCCAGAGAGGTTCTCAGGAAGGCTGGTGCCTGCTGGCTGCTCTTGGCTATTTTGGGATCCTCCTGGGTCATAGGTGTGAGCTTTAATCCAAGACAGACCTTGCCAGCCACGTGTGGTGGCTTCACCTCTTGGATTGCATCAGGTGCTGTGAGACACAGCACTGCAAGCAAAATGGTCATTGTCTGGAGCCTGGCTCCAGCTCTCTCCCTTCCCATCATCTAGAAGCAGAAGGAAAAGTCAAAAGCTCTATCATTTTCTTGTATTCTCCCCTGGCCTATCATTGCTTAATTGTATCCCTAAATCTTATTAAATTCTGGGGTGAGTCACTGCCACAGTGAGGTGAAAACAGAGCTGAGTGAATTTAAGAGGAGTGTCTTCCCAGGTGAGTGGCTGAGCAGGAAAGCTCCCACAGCAGAGAACTACTATCACTTCATAGGTGTGTTGCATCATCTGCCTGCTCTTGCCTCTAATTTAATGCTCTAAACCCAAATCAAAACACCTGTAGTCCAAAGAGAATATAAAATAACTTGGAGTAGGAAATCCATGCCAATTAGACATGCAGATCCCTCTTAATCATCTGAGATCTTCTTCTAAGGTCAGACAGGACTTATAATTGTGGTTCTACATTGTCCTGTTGCATTGACTCTCCACAGAACCCACTTTCCTCTCCACCACCAGGATAAAATTGTAGGATTAATCCAAGTGTCTGCATGTCTGTATCCAAGACGTGCTTCATTTGTGGCTACAGCAGCTCGAGCTTGGAAAACTCATTATGGTCTGCAGGAGTGTGAAACCACTGTCACTGGACAAATAACACACTGGAAACTCTCCTCTGCTTTTTTGTGTAGGCACTATTATATTCCCCTCTACTTTCTGTTCTGGTTTCTGATGCAAACCCATAAAAGTCTATTTTCCCTCACATCCCGGGCTCCTGCTTCTCATAACTTTTAGAAGTTTGATGTGCCTCTTTGGCATTCTGTCATGGCTGGGAATATGTTGCTGAAGGCAGGAGAGCCACCTTTCAGGGTGCTGGCTGCAGCTCTGCACATGTGTGTGTGTATTCCCTCCTGGAATATATTCCATCCAGTCCAAGTCCCTGCTCAGCTGCAAGCAGGAGTAGGATATTTCCCTTCTGTGCAGCACGACTGAGTGATGATAGGAGAGCACGAGAAAATATTGTAATCAGTATTTCCTCCCTTCTTCCACATTGTTCTTGAGGATGTTGATGAGTTTATTGTCCCTAAAATTGGGATTGTAGTGCCCAGGAGTTGTTTTGACTTGTTGAGCTTTCCCTGATGTGGGCAGTTTGGGACCAAGCAGTACTGGAGCACAAAGTGCTCAGAGCTGGTTAAACTCAGTGAGGTTTCTGAGCTAGGTTGGATAAGAAACATTTTATTTTTGTGGAAGGGGAGCAGGTAAGTCAGCTACACCACAGAGAGGTTGGCTAGGCAAATGCAAATTTATTTTTGTTCATCAGTTGCTGCCTGGATAATGGTATCTCAGTTGTTAATGGAGCAAACCAGGGAAGCACAGTCAAGAAATCCCAGGGCACTTTGTAAATGGAGTTCAAGAAAGAAGCAAAGAAATTCCTCTTGAAATTGTAGTAAACAGCAATGTTCCAAAGGAAAAGAAAGGCCAGGGGAACACTGTGTCAGGATGAATGTAATCAGGCACTTAATACTTCAGAAAATTACAGAATCACAGAATAATTGAGGTCAGAAAGGACCTCTGGAGATCTTCTAATCCAAGACTCCTGCTTAAAGCAGGGTCAACTAGAGCAGGTTGCACAGGACTGTGTCCTGTTGGGTTTTGAATATTTCCAGGGATGGGGAGCCCACAGCCTCTCTGAACATCCATGCTTGACCTTCCTCACAGTAAAAATTCATTTGATGTTTAAATGGAATTTCCCAGATCTCAGTTGTTGCCCTTTGCCTCTTTAACTGGGCACCAGTGTGAGGAGCCTGGCTCTGCATCTGCCCTCTTTTATCAGTATTGACAGACATTCATTAGGTTCACACCCTTTCCCACCCCCAGCCTGCTTGTTTGGGGCTAAGCAGTCTGATGAGAGAGTAGGGAAGTGGGAGTTGTTGCAGGAGGTCGAACTAATTTTTCTGAGCAGATATTGAAGCCTAAAGCCCACCTGAATGCTGTCCTGAGTACATGGTGATGTACAAGTAGTACAGAATAGCTCAAATGAGCTTTCTTCCTTTTTTTCCCCCTTCTCTCAATCATCTTATTTTCCTTTAGTATCTTTAATTTATGACTGTTCCCTTGGCATTGCCCCACATGTCTTCTGGGAATAGTTATCTCTGGGTCTTTTATCTCTCTGTGTTTGACATTTAGTGTGATCTTGGCAGTCCCAAGAGCTAGGACATTTATGGTGAGCGATCCAGGTTGGTGCTCAGTTGATTTCTGTAACCTGCAGAGATGTGAAAAATGACTTTGGATAAAGCCTTGGATCAGAATTTGAGCTGGTGGTGGATGTTCAGTGTCGTTAGAGAATGGTTTTCTTGTTTTTAAAAAAGAAACTTGCATATCCTCAGATTTGGGGAAGACAGTAGTCTAAATAAGGAAGTCCCAGATCTAAAGAGAGCAACAGCCTCTATCCCAGACCCAGGAAGTCAGATGCAGATTATTTACACCACTGACAAATATTCAGGCCTATGGATCTGCATCTGAGACCACTGGACCATGTACAGCTTGGCAAACCTGGGTGTCCCCAAATTAAAGCTCTGCTGTGGGTTTTCCCTTTGGTCTGTTGGTTACAAAAACATGGCTGTCCCATATACCTGATGTTGCATGTGTTAAAATGTTTGGTAGAAAAATGTTAAATCTAGTTGAATGTGTAAATACTTCAAAACCTGTTAATTTTGCTTGTGCCAATTAGTATATTGAGATTCATGGAAAACAGGAGATTTGGTTTGGTTCTCCTTGTAGTTACTTTAAATCTGAGCATCTGGTCACTTACTCACCTTTACTAAGGTATTTTAAATAAATTGGTTATATTTGCTTTAAAAATAAAAAACTCCCCAGAACTAGTTAAATATGAAACCTTTCATCATTGCTATCAATCTGCCATATCTCCTCCCAGCAGAGATTTGTTAAAACTTGTCTTGGATTCAATCTGTCTTGTCAAACCATTTGAAGCACCTTAGCTGCAGAATCAGTTTCCCTGTATTTCTGTAAAATAACAGAAGTAAGAGGTCTGGATTATGAAAAGAAAACCACACACAAAAAGAAAAGCCTGATCTTATTTAAGTAGAAAAGAAAGACCAGTTTCCATTCATCAGGGTTTCATTCCCAGGCTCATTGCATGATATTGCATCTGCCCACCTCTGCTTTTATTGTAGTAGCCCAAAATTACTGAGTGTGCATGTACAGGGGAAAAAAAAAAGTGCAACCTTTAGAAGTTATGTGTTTAAACTCGAATTTGTAGCTTTGCTGATGCATCACAAAAGGTTTGAGTTGAATGCTTTTCAAAGGCTGAAGGCACTGAGCTTATTCTCTGTTTTCCTTATAGGTGTGTTACTGGACATCCAGCAGCACTTTGGGGTTAAAGACAGCGGGGCTGGCTTGTTACAGACAGGTAAGAAAGTGTTTCTTCTTTCATTGGCCTTTGTAACATTCCATTTGTCCCATGGGTGCCTGAAGATTTCTTCATTTTGATGCATGGGCATACTGCTTGTGAAATCGACTCTTAGAAAGGTGAATAAATAAACTCCTACTGGGAAGCTAAATGAACATGAGGGGTTTTTTTGGCCTTGATTTTCTGTTGGGCAGGAGATTGGGTCTCAGAATGATTTGAGTGTAGAATGGACCAAAAGCAAACTAACCTCATGATTTTATTTACAAGACCCAATTTCAAACAGGAGATGGTTACTTCCCCTAGATTAGAAAACTCATGGTAAACCAACAGCAGGGTTCTGTTTACTTCTTTAGGTTGGTAATAAGTGTGATGTGTTTTGCCCTTCAAGTGCTTGACAGAGAATCTGCTGAATGGACAGTCCTGGGAGCATGGTGTGGCATGAAAATGCAAAACTCACCAGGGCAGGAACCTGAGGATGAAAGGCAAAGCTAACAACCACTGCACCCATGAGAGCTCAGGGATTAACAACAGCCCTGGAGTTTTGGTGCTGTTAGCTTCCAACATTTCTCTGGTTGTGTAAGGAAGGATTATTGCAATTCTGATGTCCTTTTAATGGAGCAGGCATTTTTATGTCTCAGACATTTTTAGGCAGAGCTGAACAACCCCAGCAGAACCCCAGCTGCTCTGGCTCTGGTCCTGGGGTGGCTCAGAGGAGGGGCTGCAGGCCATGACATTGAGCACCAGTCTCATGTAGACATGACAGATGTTTGATCCTCGTGGAGAGTTGAAAGGAGTAGCAGTATTTTTAAGAAATGCAGTATTTTAAGCCAACGGTCTGGTTTGAAAACCTCCTACAGAACTATTAATTAGAGTCACGGATCTGTGGTGCTGTGGCTGTCTTGTCACTGTCATCTGTCTGAGGGAACCACACTGGAACAATTGCATCTCAGAAAAAGTGAGAATTCAGTTAGGTTTTGAAACAGTGTGCCAGCAAGACACGTTTTCCCATGCTGTCACAGTGGATATCAAACACCTGTCAGGAGCTTGTCTGGGAAATTGTGGCCAACACTGAATTGTATAAAATCATTCTTTATGGTCACACTAAAGGTGAGACTATTCTGGAGCTCTATCAATTGGTCTTTGATTTCAAACTAAGTGAACCACTGCAATGTCCCCTCCTTTTTTATTTCCTGCAGCCCATGGCACAGCAGGGTCCTCATCTGTGGCTGCAGCTTCTTGGGAATGTTGTAATACAATCGATTAATAACAATTTGTATTAAATGTTTTAAAAATGCTGCCCTTGTGGGACAGCAGAGCTCAGCTCAGCTGATGTGAGCAGCATGTGTCCAGAACAGGAGGTTTCAGCTCTAGAAGTGTCACTGATTATAAGCAGCATCAATCAGTTATGCCCAAAATGGCACTGGTTGTCTGTCAGATTCTTTTCTACAGCAATTATTTGTATTTATTTATTGTACTCAGAGGAACAGGTCCTCAATGTATCATTAGACATAAAGTGCTTTCAAGAAAATATTCTGGTGGAAAAGGACATTTGCCAAAGCATGTATTTAATCTTCATTCCCCTTCCATCCATTCAGTGGATGAAATCCTTCTGAACATTATTCACTGGCAGCAAGTAAAAGCTAACTTCGACAGGATATTCATTTGTTAATTGCAAGATATGTTATTTATTTCTTTAGCAAACACACAGGGCATCTGAAAACAGCATCACTGAGATATTGCAGGATTGGTCTTGGGTGTGTCAAGTTTTCTAAGAGGTAATTGTTGCTTTAAGAAAAGCAGTGTTTTCTCTTGGGTTTTTTTGCTGATCTGAAAACTGAGGGCTTGACTTTGCTCCTGCAATATAGATAATAATGTATTAATCACAGTGCTATCAGAGGGAAAGAGTGCTCAGAAAATAAAACACCATCTCATGTAAATAAGGGTAGAGGCTCATAACTGAAAGCTTATTAAGTCTATTACTCCAGCTTACCAAGTTTCTGTGCTGGCAGGTGGCCCATGGCCCAGATATGCTTAATCCTGGTTAAATATAAGATGATGCCCTAAACCACCACAAACATTGCTTCTAATCTTTTGTCTTTTCTCTAAGTCAGACTTCTCAATGTTAAAATCAGGGGAAATGGTGCAGAGTGTAAAAGCACTTGCCCAGGGTTGCAGAAGGAGCCTGGAGCAAAGCTGGGGCCAGGCCAGGTGTCTCCCACTCTTGTGCCTTAACCCTGAACAGTTCCTGTGCCAGCAGAGACACAAATATTGTTTGGTCCCCATGGAGTGGTCCTGCTAAATCACTGAGTTATGTGAGACAAAAGACTGTTCATCCTGATTATGTCCTCTGAACAAAGTGTGGATTAGTCCTCAGGTTGTTAATCCTACATCTAAATCAGTTCTAAATTAATTTACAGCATTAATGAGGGGGAGTGAAATCTAATATTTGCTGGCACTTCATTTCACTCATCAAAAAGGCAATAAAATAAAATCTTTTAAAAATTTAAAAAGCCTTTTAACTGAGAAACACAAATTGTGGTTGCACAAATTTTTAGGAGGAAATGGTTCTGAAAATCCAAACAGAAAGTGGGGAAAAGAAATCCACCAAGGGTTTGAGCCTGCCTTCATCCCACACCCTGCTCTTTGCAGGCTGATCTGGTGTCTCTGATCACTGCCAAGCCAATCCATACTCTCAGCTTCTGATGCTGTCTGGAAAGCAAAGGTTACTTGTTCCTTAGGAATTGCAGACACAAAGAGAATTTTTGTCTTCTTTTATATTAATCCTGACATACAAGCTGCTCTTTAACCAAGAGTTACTGTGAACTGGTTAGAGGGACATTGTAACTCCCTGCACAGAAAAATCACAGCCTCATCCATAATGGGAAGAAGCAGACCATGGTAGTCCCTTCAGCAAGGATCCTGTGACAGCAGAGGACATGGTGACAGATGGAGCACAACTGCTGCTTGCTCAGTAGCATTCTAGAGTAACACACATAAAACTGGTGATTTGAGCTTCACTTACCTCCACATGATGCTGTAATTGCATGCTGATCTTCCTTTTTAAAGCACTGCATATGCAGTTGTGTAAATATTGCTTTAGTTGGCCCTCCCATAGGTCTGCATCCAATCCTTCTTGTGCTTTTCAGTTCTTACTGGCTGCTTTTCCCAGCTAGAGAAAGGATAAACCTGGCTGAACTCAGAAGGTGATAGAGCATCTCTGTGCCTGCTTGAGCTGTAGTCAGTTAATACATTTATAAACCAAACCATACAAAAAGCCTTAACTATGTGGGAGTTAGGTAGGAGCAGTTACAGAGCTACAGGCCACTAGGAACACAAAGACTAAGAAGGTGGACAACTGGATTTGTAGAGCCCTTTTGAAGAGTTTTATCCTTCCATATTCACTATACCATGAGAGTAATGCCCCAGTGCTGTACTCTGGTTTTGACTAGATTATTTTCCATTCTTTCTACAATTTTTGTGCTTTATTGCTCTGTCTGCTCTCTGTGGCCTTGAATTTATTTTGCTTTTGTGTCTCTGTAGCAGTGTAAGAATAGCAGTGGCTGGTTCATGATACAGTTTGTGATCCAAAGATCTCAGGATATTTTATATCAGGAGGGCTTATAAGGCTGGCCCTTACAGATGGGAAAATCAAGAAAGCCAGGTGGGAAAAATTACCTGCCCAAAGGGGCACAGCAGGTCTGAGGCAGAGCCAGGATGAGAACTACAGTCCAGTTCCTGAACACACAGCATTCGTGTTATGAATGAATGAATGAATTAACAAGGTTAATGCTTAGACCCAGAGCTTTGGTCCTTGTTACTGGGCACCTGAATCCTCCAACCCAGACAGCTCCAGCTCAGGGACTTCTGCAGGTGGAAACTGAGAGGTATCAAATGGAGGTTATTGCAAGGATTCCATGGAAATGCAGAGGGGGAAAGTGTCTGTCCTCAGGAGGAGCACAGGGATGTCATTAGAGGACAGCCCTGGTTAGCAAAGGTGAATAGTGCAAGGTCACAAGCCAGGAAATGTGAAGAGGTGAGAGAAGTGCAAGGGCTCATTAAAGGTGAATAATCACAGCTAATTGGGGCTCTGAAGGAACTTGTCTTTCCTCCTGTGCAGAGATGGGCATTCCCCCAGATGCCTTTCAGCCCCTGGTTTCCCAGAAAGCCAAGCAATGCCAGGTACTTTTTCACAAGTCTTGTTGTGAGCTCACTTTTCCTGTAGGGGTCAATTCCAACTACAATCTCAGTTCATTTGAAAAGGGGAACTTTTATCTACCTGTGCTGCCCTGCCTCTTGAGCTGACGTAGTGTAACCTTGCAGTAGGTTACAACCTTGCAAATCCACAATCAGCTCTGCTGGGCTGTGATTCTTCCCACCAAGCTACAAACACGTGCACTGAGGAGTCTCCATGTAGTAGATGAGCACACTGGTGGGAAAAATCAGACTTGATGAATTCAGTTCCCTTTGACTCCCATCTTCTTGTCACTGGCTTATGGTGGCAGCTATACCTCTCTAACATTTTTATTTATTCCATGCACAAACCACATCCTCCAGGTGCTACCCCTGAATATGTATCACATGAGTTGCAGGTGCTGCTTGTTTTTTTTCCACCATCTCCTTTCCCCCAGATGGACACTGTCTTTCTCCTCAGCTGTGCTCTGCAGAACTGAGCTACATCTTCACGTTTTGCTTCCTACTGCACCTGCTTAACTGTTCTTCTTGCTAGAACAGAGAAAATCATAATCTAAACACTTTCTGTTTTCTGTTTCAAGTCCATGGGCTTTCCTTATGGGTGAATGGCTTCCTGCACCTGAGCACTTCCCAAGGAAGTTCCCTTAGGTGTCCAAGCCAGGAGGTGAGATAGAATGCTTATAGAATGCTTTGTGTTTGCTCTTAGGACTGCAAATGGTTTGGTCCACCCTGTCCTACCCACTGCCTTCTCCTCTGCTTCCAACAACACTAAGAATTCTTAAATCCAGGTTACTTCTCTGGCAGTCTGG